GGTATAACCGTAACTGGTTTACCAAATAACATAGATCCATTAAAGGATCAATCAGACGATAACTGTCTGAAACCATATAAGCCCCCGTCAGACACAGTCAAGGCATTAATACCTGACTTTGCGAACAAAATCATGGATCTGATTCTAGTAAATAAGAAGATAAAGATCACAGATTGGGCAAAATTCCGTTTCAACGACGGATATGTCAGCCTTGACTTAACCAAGGTAGACTTTACTAAGCTCAAATGCCCTTCAAGAAACTATGTTTCTTGGAGACACGAAGCTGTAGTTAAAGAAAAGGTTGAGAAATGGTTATCCGACGGGGTAATCGAAATCAATTGCCAACAAACGCCAGTTAACTTAGCATTATTGGCAGTTGATCAACACAACTCTGACGGAACATTTACGAAAGTCAGAGTATGTCTAGATATGAGTCCAATAAGCAAGTTATTGCCGACTCATAGTTTCCATCTCCCTCGTATAAACGAGTTACTGAGATGAATGGAAGGTGCTACGGTGTTTACATCCATAGACCTAACACATATCATCAAATGCAAATTTATGAACCCCATCTTAAATGGGATGGGGAGCTAGGTACCAAGTGATGGGGATTAGGTGCAAATGTATACTGCACCAGTTTGGTGTTTTGATTTTATTTTGATTTTCTTAAGTTGGACTTAGAGGTATTTTATTGGTTAGTTTGATTAGGTAATTGTTTCGAGGCGTGAAATGTAAACTATGCGTCCAATGAAATGATATCTAGTCTTAGTAACTAAAACATAAATAAATCTAGACCGAAGTAGTGATTGATTAGAGCGGAGTATATAGACAATAGTCTCAATCTAAAATCCCCCAATCTTTTGCTCATTACCAAGGGCTGAAGCTAAACTTTTTTAACATTTTGCATTTTAACGTATTAGCGTATTCTTATTAACGTAAACGTCTTGGTATCGTATAGTCAGCCTAGAGGAGACCGACTTTTACACTAATGACACGTATATTTTAGCGACTACTCGTCGTGGTTGTGTTTATAGTTCATGGATTTCTTGTAAGGATACGTGATCTTTGTCTCCATTTGATTTGAAATGTTCCTACTTTGGTTGGTGACCCTTTTGAGCTTACGTACCACAATTAATAAGCGTGCACTCACGTTGTTGTTGTTATTATTTACCTCTAATGTTAATGCGTGGCTGAAATCATAGCAACTCGTTTGATGTGTTTGCACTATACATGGTCCTTGTAATCTCTGCGAATGAGATGCTCCATTCCTGGCGGGCGTAATCATATATGGTTTTGTGCCTAGCTAGCCACTATTAATCTTACTTCTGTGATTGTACTAACGATCAGATTTGATCCCCTTTTCAGTGTGAAGTATTCTCGTATCTTGTTGCAAGTGCTAGCTTGTTTTTGTGTAAGTCTACGTACGTAGGATATTATCTTACTTGGTGCTTAGGACTCCTGACGTCAGTGTATCTTCTGTAACTGAAAATCACCAACATTGATTATTTAGTCACGGTGACACCTTAATTTTTCCACCTGTATCAACACCCCAACATTCACTCACAGCTTTGTATACTTCAATACTCAGGTTCTCGTCCTTCCAGCTTACTTCTGGAACACGATATCTTTGGCTTGGTTGTTCCTCTTCAAGGTTTTGTTGCTTAAGGAGTTCCTTCTGTTGCCTCTCTTGGTCTGTCTTCTTTTAGTTGGAGGTCCTCGCTCTTGGTCAGCTGCTTGCCCTTCCTCTGAGCCAGTTCTTCCCCCTACTTGTCTTAGTGTTTTAGCATCGAGGTTTTGGCAACAGTGTTAGTTGAATGTCTTTTAGTATACTACTAGCTTTGTTGACTTATCTATAGGGATATTGTAAAAATTGTAGAGTATGTAGAGTAGCTGAAAGCTCGAGCTAAGGGATACAATAGACCTCTTCTCAAGTACGGTTATCTCAGCTAGGAAAAAGTCCCTAGTCTGAGAGAACCGAACTGAGTCTTTATTTGTGTTTTCACTAGACTCAGGATTTATTAGTATTTCTCTCACGCGCGGAGACCCGGTATAGCTTACCGGTTCTACCGCTAATATTTCTGATGACTAATATCAGAAATATTTCAATCCTAATTCCAAAACTTACTCAATATTTGATGATCCTGGGTTTTGGGATTTGGAATTTGGATTGGCTTTTTGATAATCTGGTCCCTAGATGCTACAACATTGACAAATAAACATCTCAACAAAGAGTAGCAACTAGCCCGCCACAAAAATTCACGTGGTCAATTATATTTCAAAATGTACAAAATTATAGGATTCTGGAAAACGAAGGTGACAATGGCGTGTAGCACTGATAGTCACGTACACCTCAAGCATGCTCAGAGAATATTATAGCACCTCGCGCTCAGAGAATACTATAGCACCTCGCAAGTGATAATCATATTATTAAATTAATATATACACAATCTTATCTGTAACAGAAATGCATCAGGTTTTGTTACAATAGGGAGGTAGACGCTGTTTGAAACTTACGGGCATACAGAAGAGCAAAAATGATAGCAGAAGGTGTACAATACTATACTATGGCAAGGTAGCGTTTCTTTGAAGAAAGAAAAATGTATGCTTTACTAGTGATTATAAAGATCTATTTGTGTATCATTTTTGAGGTTAAAAACCGAATTGACCGCATCGTGATTTTTTTCAGACGCTTCGACTATCGCGTCTTACTTGGTGGTTGGTGAAATCATTTTCGCCAAATAGATTTTTAACACCAATAGAATCGTGCTATTCACTTTTATTATATCCTCCTGCAGCGAAACACAGTGGTAATCAAATCACTCTCAACTAGGTACTGCGCTAAACTCTGTGAACGACATTGTTCTAAACCTCCACTAGAGCATCCAGTTCTGAGCCAACAGAGCATATCCCTAATTTATATATGAGCAGCCAATACGCCGTGTTTGGTTTCTACACTCGAACCGCATTTTCCCATTATCGTGCTATTAAGTCCTACGAGTTTGTTAATGTGTCGGCAAGTTTTTATTCTTTACTTTCTTTCGAAGCTTTGGGATGTGTGTATGTTGGTGCTTGACTCCAACGAGTCAGTGGGTGGTGTAGGGCCGATTTAAGGAAGTGGGTTAAAAAATGGGCTCAGTTATTGCGTATGAAATGTGAACCCATAATTTTTGTAACTGTGTCCGGACCAGAATTTATTTTATTTTGTAACTCGATAATGTATCAGCAATTTATTGTTATTATTTGTCTACTTTTCGAAGCTTTGAGATGTGTGTCTGATTGCTGCATTAGAATGTTCGATGTAGGTCTATGGAAAGTTGGCTTCAATAAGCCAGGGATGGAGTAGGGCCGATTCTACTGATACATGTCGTGCAATGACTGATAAAAACGATGGCAGATCAACATCTTCGACATCTTCAACACCATATGTATCAGTAAATAGTGACCGTGTACGGAGCAGAACACCTAAAGAACAAAAATATATTCTATGCCCGTTTCCATTGAATGTTTTTTTTTGTCGTTTCAGCACTATATCAATAATCATATTTTCTAAACGGTCACTCTCTACGACAGTCCCAGTAGTAGCACAGTAGTTTAAACAGGGCTCATGTAGGCGAGATGTACCCATATATCACCCATCATGTTTTACCCTACGATGGGGACACACCATGATAAGCGCATTTTCTTCAGTCAAGAGATCATATCGGCGAGAAATTTACCCCCATCTACTTGTACATTCAGAGGGAAAAAAAAAACAATACTTCCCAAAGTTATCACTACTTTTCACGTAGGATATCTCCATATTCAAAACATGCCCCATATATTATTTACACTATCTCGTGATACGAGGTGCCCTGCTAGCATCTATTTTTTTGTCATCCAATTCTAGTGCCCAGAGAAGAACTATATCCAGGTGTGGTCGGTCAACTTATGGTGAGTGTCATCTTAGGTTTGCTGTAAGGAGGATATAAAACAATAGTTCACCTATAGAGAATTATTAGCGCCAAATGATGTACCTCGTACCCATGTAGATTGTCTAATGTGGCCTCCATAGAACTTTTTCTTCAGAGAGGGGTTACTACCTATCCTCCCTCTTCGAGAGTAAGTATAGCAACTGTGTCACCGACTAGGCGTATCATCACCTCACCCTATCTGACTTCTAACCCAATTTTAACACACGTATAATACGATATTCAGGTGTACGTCCACGTTCAGTCTTCCGTCCTATCTATTTTTAAAATATGTAGTATATACTTGTATTTCCTACTTAGTGAAAATCCGAGGGTGTCACCTATGTAAATACGAAATAGCAGTGGAAATAAATGTATCATATGCTTCGACTACCCGAGGCACCCTTGTTCCCCTGCAGTATAAAGACCCTATAATCGCCTGGCTGTGTGATTTAGACCGGTTATCCTTAACGTTGATGGTCACAGGCGAAGCCACTACTAGAGAATATCTAGAACCCATAATTAGTCGTCAGTATTGTATATTTATATCACAATTGACCACCTGATAGCCATTTTATTTAACATGGCTAAACCGTAAAGCGGGCTATCCTCGAACTACTAACCTAATACATTATTTGTAGCATTCGGCACAGACTACCTTAGCTTACTCCGAAGGAGTGAAAATAAGAGTAGAAGTATCTCCGCTACGATACGCTATGCGGACATCTCCCCGGGACAGGCGCGAAAGTGTTTGCACTTATTACACTGAAATATAGTGGTACATTTTTGGATTAAATTTGATATTGAGATACTAGTTAGTTAGTGTAATTTATCAACAAAATATTAGACAGCCCATCTTCCAGATGCGGTATAATCACTATTGTCATTGGCTCGAGAGATATTAAATCTAGAGGTGACGATTGTGGCTACGTATGTATCCCATAGGTAGGAGCATTTAGAAGCATAGCTACCAACACAGAGGGGTAGATGCATAGGTGGTGAGATTTTTTATATACAGGGCTGTGCCCGTAGGTCGTGAAAGGCGATCGTACATTACTGAGCCAACCAGGGCATGGCCCGTATTACTTCCTTCCTGCGATCTCCATAGTCGTACTGAAGCTCTTCACCAGCAGAGATATCGCGCGATGCAAAAAAGCATAATCGCGGAGTATCAACGACCTAGATTTATAAAACAAAAGTTGTTTTATTGTAGTTGTGTTTTTGACAGAGTTTACTCGCTTGTAATAACATTGCATCTACTGCCGATTGGAATACTGCTAAATAAAAGTAGCCCTTAGTAATATTACAGGGATTGTGGATGAGAACAAACGGTACAGGCGATTGGTGTGTTCATTCTCACACGCTATTCGACTAAAAAAATATATCATGTAACGAGCTACAAGAGAAAGTGCCAATACAAGGTTCCAGAAGTTGGTGAATTGATACACAAAGCAGACCATGGATACTGATGAACAGGTGTTGAACCTTGATACGACTACTAGTGTAAAATACATACCAGGAAAGCTTTCGTGTGAACATTTGCTAGTTTCTTGTTATGGTTAATGAGACGTCCCTTCCTGCCCGCAACTGTAGCATCAACACTGTGAAGTAGTATCAGAGTTCAGAGAACAGATCAGCTCATTGCAATGGCGCGAATTTCTGGACATCTGGAGCAGCTCGCTAGTTTCAAATACACGATAAGCTTGTGAGCATCGCTTATTGTACAACACACGCACAGTTGAATAGCTATAGACCACTTTGCAATGAAGGACATACCAATATCGGCTGCTATCGGGCATTTTGAAATGGTACATATATGACCCGTATTTCTCCGGGAATCTTGAGTAGTTTTTGTCACGCCTGCATGGGGCGAGTCAAGGTGTGGGTTTGACGAACTGCATGCCATCACAGACACGACTGATAACTTGTTTTTTACAATATTCGAAGGCAATAGTGTAGAATATATTGCACAATATTGATCAAGACACGCTATGTAATATCTCAAGTGAACTTACAGACAACCTTTTTCTTGAGCAATACACCGACTAAGGCTGCTCAGCAGATGCATGGGCGCCTATATTGGAAGTATACGTATCCGAAAGTTATTAGACAGTTATACCGGACTGCTTTGGGTATATCTTTCACGATCCGACAAGTTCTACGTTTAAGCTCAGAAACAAACATAAGAGCAGTCGACAGCACAAACTCGAGTTCGAAAATGGTATGCTAATAAAACCGCATAAACTGGATAAGTAAAAAGTAATATGCAAAACGAAACCAGGTATACGGAAAGATCTTCACGTGTGAAGTGGCACGTAGAACATCTATTTGAAAGCCACAAGATGGACAGTATACGCTTTGCATACACATATAACTTTTATTAAAGTCTCCACACTAGATATCATAAATTGGTAAATAAATAAAGAAAGAAAGAATAAATAAAGAAATAAATATTATATATATACGAGTATGATAACGGAAAAGGCTTCTAAGGAGATGTCTGCACACAGCCTCATGCATCGGGGTAACAGACTTCTAACTAAACTTCATCGCGCCAATCATAGAAACACACCGTCACAACAGGAGGATCGTCGATGCATGCCGGTTTCAATGCCCATGTTGATGCTCGGGGGTGCCAAATACATACAAATGCGAGTTACGGAACACGTCATATCACACTGGCACTGTTTATATGCCACACACGCACACATATCACCCCCCACTCAAGTAATTGTACCTGTCTGCTTCCACAGGATCAATCAAATCTCCGGAATACTCACAGACGAAATCACCTCGGATGAGATTGATCTTACAGCGCAAGCCTTTACCCATGACCTCATCCTCGTATATCTGCATTGAACGGGAGTCATAGTTATTAAACTTTACATTCACCGAAGCTTTACACTTTATGTTTGTATGCACGTACCTTTTAAACTGTAGATATGTAGCGGTTTTATTACCGCACCTAACAAAGCACTTAGGTTTGCAGCTTGATACGAACGGTGAATACATGTCGAGGTCGAAATACTTTCAGAAGCGAGACACAAGACAGCATCCAATACAAGACGAGAGTTTGTCGAGCTGCATATTGAAAGGTAGCGAAACGAAATATCGAGTGCATAAAGGTATACGATGCACACACAAATGGCATAAACTGCAAGGATTGTAATTTACACACCTCTAGATGCGACTCGTCCTGTTCAAGTATTCGCTTTTCTAATAGCAGCCAATTTTTTTGCTTAACCTCACTCTGAGTCTTGCGGCGGCTTCGTCGGTATCCGTAATCTAGAAGACTGCTCTGATTGGGATCGACAACTGCCTCCTTTTTCTTTCTTCTCTGAGCCGGTTTCTTGTTGTCGACTTTTTTAGGTCTGTCGTGTTTAGAACTGTTTCAAGCAACGTTTTTAGTGTGAGTGGCAACAAAAAGGTAATTCAAGGAGTGCAAATAATAAGCTAGCTTACTTCCTGGGTATTTCTGATTTTTCTACGAAACGAAACGGTTGTGCGTTGTAATCCTCGAGTCCACAAAAATGTTTGAGAGCTGCACATATAAACCCACAGGCGGTCGCACCGGGTACAATAAGTGAACGGAATCTCGCACTAGCTACGTGCAGAGGTAGCTCACTGGAACATTATGCACTCCAACAAGAGTTGCTGAGATGACTATTATGTTCATCGAAACGAACAAATACACGACTAGATTGACACCTCCATCACCTCACAGTGTTGCTTTCACTTGATGCCATACGCTGAGATCCTTAGTTGAGAAAAACACACACATGTTTGCAAGGGCACACATACCCGTCCTTGACTGCTGGGGAAGGCGTCTTCTTATCCGCTCGGGTACCCACGCCGACACCGTCCTGTGTATTTGCGTCTTCATCTACGAAGTATCTCAATAAGGTATTGTGCGATAAAGTGGATGACTCGGGCGTTCTCTTGTCGATGGACGTTCGGCTCTTGCCTGCCGCGCCACTCAATTCTCCACGCCGACAGGGTGTAGGTGCATCCAAGTGCACATAGCTATGCTCTGTAATGCAACAACCGTGCACTATGAGCAAAACCAGGCGATTTGTATGCATGTTGCATACGGATTGCAACCGTCAATACCAGCGCAGACACAAGCAATTGGCTAATGCTGTATTTTCGGTAGGCTACTACTAGACCAAGCTAACCTCTAGATGGGCTGGTAGTGTACAGCGAAACACCTTTCACACAAAGAACATTCTGCCGCACTCAACCTGGAGCGAGTGATCAATATTGCACACTCTACAAGCAAATACAGTCGCAAAAAGTAGAGTATTCTTTCACGCGCTAGAGATGTAGTAAATGGCTTTCTTTTCTCGTAATATTGTATGGGTATGATAAATTTAATTTACCGAAACACCAGCCGTAACTGTAACTCAGTTGACCGTACATACAAACATCACTTGATATCTAATGTACCGAAACACCAGCCGTAACTGTAACTCAGTTGACCGTACATACGAACATCACTTGACTTTGAACTATTGCATTCACAGGTAGCATCAGATGGATCACAGAAATGATTGGGAAGAACCTTAGCACTTCAAGACCCAGAAGCATGGGGAGTATACACAACCCAACCTACCCAGAGACCAGATATGCAAGCTTCCACTGAATCGGTAAACGGGGGCATCCATAACATCTGATGAGATCCACCAACTTTACCAAACACAAAACTGACCACAAATGCACTCACCCTTATTTTCCCTGTGCCTCGATGTGGGCATGGATCCTGTACCCGAGCTTTTCCGCAGATCTCGTTCGGTGTATTTTGCCACAGATGCTCGTTCGAATGCTCGTTCGGATGAGTGGAAATCCGTTTGCCGGCTACGTGTCATTGCCCGGGTGCGTGGTGTGGGCATGTCTCGTTCACCAGATACACGCTCTCTGTCAGCAGACACGCGCCGTTTGTCAGCTGAGACACAATAACTGTCAATTGAAGTACACTCTCTTTCCTGGCCCCGCGAGCCGCTGTTCGCATCCGCATTGCGCGACGTCTTCGCGGTATCTCTCGGTGTATGACCACTGTAGCGATGACTCAACTCTCGATCCGGCTTAGCTACTGGAGTTCCCGAGGCGTTACACGTGGACGACTCTCGTACCCTCGCGCTACAGTCATGGCGAGTATCTGCCTGTCTCTCCGCTAAATGATCTCGTTCGTGCGAGCGGTACGTAGCCCTTCTGCGTTGAACGCTCTCAGTCCTTTCGATTGTGCCGTGTTCGTATGTATCCTTGTGTACTGTTGGAGACTTGTTGGTCTCACGAGGGTGATATGATTCTCTATCTTGCATAGGGGTGCAGTACCTTTGGGGCGAAGTCCTCTCACAGTCATCTTCGCGCACGACCGTATACGACGTCGCATCAAGACGCGCACGTCTATCGTCTCCCCTACTCGATTGCCTGCTAACAGATACAACACTGCATTCCACGGACGTTCTGCTGCGCCCTGCAGAGCTTCTGCTGGGATTCGCAGACTCTCTGCAAGGTTCTATGGATGTACTGATGCATTCAACGTATGTTCTAGCGTACTCTACGGAGTCTTCACTACGCTCTACTGATGTTTTACTTTGTACACTGCGGCGTTCATACGTTTCGTGATTCTCCTGGGACGATGAGCTGGTTGTCTCTCTTATACTCCTAAAAGTATAAGTACACATCGCGGACAATGATGAGTCAAGCGTTTCATCGTAAGTATCTACAGCGGTGTAATGCCTTGTATATTCATATAAATGTACTTTAAAGCGTTCAAACGGTATTGTCCGCTCCAATGAGCGCTAGAGCCCTTAAGTATACACACAAGCGAGAGGGATTCGAAACGTCAAATATCGACGACAAAAATTAAATACGGATGCCCAATTGTGACTTTTTTAACGAACACGGATCCCGAAGTAATACATTGGCACCCAGTGGCATTGGGCCAACCATTAGTTCTCGAATCTATTAAAGTGAGAGCTGTGACTATCCAGTCTTTAATATAGCCTGGTTTACGCGGATACAAGAAGCAGGCAGTGGCTTTCAGAGAAGAAACTCAGACACACTCCGGCATAATCACGGAAGATAACCCAACATGATAGGAGATATTGGAATACGTATAGATTTGAAATACTATTATACAAATGCGCCGCGGTGTAACTAAGGCATGAGAGTGGCACATGAAGATATATTGTTATATACAACCAAAGTTGCGAGGCTGACGAGATGTAGACTTACCGATCTCCATCGTGTCTGTCCGACTCTTCTCGGCCATCATGCCGGTCGACTGGGGTAGTTTTGGTAGACACCTGCAGTACATGCCAAAGATATAGCAAATATAAAAAAGTAGCTGGCAATCTACAGTATTCTCCCAGTACATGCTGTTTTTTTCTCGGTAACTATCAAGATTCGTTAGTTGGCATTACACCACATTCACGTGCCAATATTTGTCGGATATGAATTCGGCTCATACAATACATTCGATATATATAGTTGAGCTGAGAGCATAGACGTGCGGGGACAATAGAGTACCTTTGAAATTCTGATGTTATCGTCAGAAACGACGATGCTACGTTCTTTCAATTCTTTGCCTGGTGCTCCGCCCCGTCTACGAGAAACGCGAAAATCCAGTTGCCCACTCATGGCCACTCTCTTTTCTTTACCTGCTATCTGGTGGGACAAGGTGATGTTATAAAGCACGTTAAAATTCGTGTGTGAGTGGCCTACCACAGAGTAATCAAACCTAACTTTGGCAACGAATGCACAAGCTGGAGATGCACGCAAAAACAAACGTATTTGTATACTCAGAAATATCTCAGACACAGACAGACACACATAGACACAGACATAGACACAGACAGATACAGACAGAAACACATAGACACAGACAGACACACATAGACACAGACAGACACACATAAACACAGACATAGACACAGACAGACACAGACAGACACACATAGACACAGACAGACACACGTAGACACAGACATAGACACAGACAGACACACATACAGACAGACAGACACACATACACACATACACACAGACATATATATATATATATACATATATATATATATATATATATATATATATATATATATATATATATATATAATATATATATAAATAGAAATAGAAATATACTTGTTTATAAATAAATATGTTTGTGTTTATACGTATTTGTATATATACTTGTGTATAAATACAACTATATATGTATACCCGCACACATATTTACTCTTTCTCTCCCACACACACACACGCATGTATTTTTACATATATATATAAACATAAAATTCTATATATGAATACATGCACACACACACACACACACACGCATATATTTATATATATATATAAACATAAAATTCTATATATGAATACATGCACACACACACACACACACACACACACACACACATATATATATACGAACATGTGTACTCTCAAATAGAAAAATCCATTG